TACAGATATTTTTTAATAAATATGAGTGTAATTATGTATATATAGAAAAAAAAATCCAAAATTCATTGTTATGTTAACTACTGTATGGCTAATGAATATGATAAAATCTCAAAATTTCATTGTCACGTTTTACCATTTACATATTCATTACGTATGATTGTATGAGGAGTAGAATCACATCAACATAACCAATTTAAGAATGATTTAAGTTATATATAAGTATTGATATTGTAATTTCATATATTATAGTTAATTTATAAAAGTTGGTTGGTTATTTTTTCTTTGATAAGATTATCAATTAATATTTTTATTTTATAGTTATTTAAATTGTTATATATTTTTCACCTCGTTGATGTACGTAACTTAAATTCTTTTAAGGAAATAGAAAATAAATTGTCACTGGTAATAGATCATTATTTGAGACCACGTTGAATAATGAAACCTAGTACTAATACAGAAAATTAAATGATGTTTACGTAGAAAAAGAGTTACTGTATAAAATAAATAAATAAATATGGAGTAATTTTTAAAAATTATGATGTTGGAATATATTCATAGAGTGTGAAAGTGGAAGTTTCCTTGTAAATTATTGGCAGGATAATGATATCAAATATTTCAAAAGCAGTCGATATCGATTGTGATGGACTGATTAAGATTTGTTAATTCTTAATTAAAAATCTTCAATTAATTTTTAAGAATAACGATAAAAAAATGTTCAGAACTACCGTATAAATAATGTGCCCATACAATATATAAATCTGAATTAATCAAATTCAAATATAAATATTACATTTCAAATGAAAAATAAATAAAAATATCAAAGGCAGACAAAGTATATATAATAGCCAGCGTGACGTAGAATAATAATTCATAGTGACCCCAGGACCTTATTATAAGGAGAAAATAATTGAAACTTTGAAAGTCGTTAAGGCCCAATGCAAAGGCAAACAAAATCAATCAACTCAACTTTTTTTTTTCTTCCAGTATTATTTTTGTATCTCTCAATTATTAAAATTTGAAGATTTTAGTTTTTGAGATATCCAACTAATAATATAAGTAATGTATTTTTTTATTAATTGAAATATGTATTTTTAAATCATTCTTAATTGATGTTGTATTAAGCTTATATTATTATTATTGTTTCACACTCGATATAATACGTATAACTCTATGATATCTCAAATATAGTATATTTCCTACCCAAAGAAAAGAAAAAACATATTTCTATTAATTAGGAATTAGATATACTTTGTCGGAATTGAAAAGTTCTAATTTTGATTTTAAAAAATGCTTTACTATTATCATATCGGAATTCATTTGGTACGATTCGATAGATTTAAGTTCCATTATGATATTTTTGTGTTATAATAATTTAATAATAAAAAATTATTCAACTTCGACTTACATATAATCACATACTAACATCTTAAACATCTAAGAATATATTCAAACCAAAATACACACAATATCATCAATTAATTATAAAAAGAAAAATACATTCTAATCTAAATTTCAATATCTAAATAATTGTGTTTGTACTAGTCCTAGTTTATACAATATTCAATATTTTTTTAATAAAATAAAACCAAATATTATATCAAAATACCAAGAAGTTTTTAAATACATACCAAATATCAATTTAAAAAAATAAAATAAAATTCAATATCTATCCAAATCATATCTACCCCATAACAAAAGGTATACAATAATTAATGAAGCAAAAATATAATTATTTTTTTTACCTAATCAATTCAAGTGTAGATGATATCTTCAAAGGCAACATAGTAAAATCAGCCTTAAAATCCTCTTTTGCCCTAAATAATATTTCTATTCTCCCAAATCTCCCTCCACAAATTTTTCCTTAAACCATCAAAAAAGCAAAACATAAAACCCAGAAACAAAAAAATCTCTCTCTCTCTCTCTCATCATTCATCATGTCTTTTCTTCAAAACAATTTTACACTAATTTTACACTTGCTCTTCCTCCTCTGTTTTTCTCAGTCTAAATTTGCTACTTCTTCCATGTCTATTCATGATTTACTAAAATCAAAAGGATTACCAGCAGGACTTCTTCCTAAAGAAGTGAAATCTTACAATTTATCAGATTCTGGTCTTCTTGAAGTGTTTTTAGATGGACCTTGTTTGGCTAAATTTGATACTATGGCTTTATATGACAGTGTTTTCAGGGCAAATCTGACTTATGGTTCACTTGGTGGTGTTGAAGGATTTTCTCAACAAGAGCTTTTTGTTTGGCTACCAGTTAAAGGAATTGTCGTTGATAATCCTTTATCTGGTCTTATTCTTTTTGATATTGGTTTGGCTCATAAACAACTCTCTCTTTCACTTTTTGAAGATCCACCTAATTGCAAACCACATGGTAATTTTATTCCTCTGTTTTTTTCGTATTCGAAATTTACTAATCTGACTAATTTGTAATTGATGTTTGGTATTCGTATTCAGATCTTATTAATGTTTTAGAATTCCAACATTAGGAGCTAAAAAAATTACTTTCTAATATAGTCAAAGTTCGAACTTGAGATCTCTGGTTTAGTATACTCTACCCATAGCCCTGTTAAACAATCAATTATCAATTTTTCTAAAAAAAGAAATTTTTTCATAGTTTTTTGTTTTGCTATTTTGTGTTGGAAATATATGGAATTTCACTAATATCGAGGGAATAGTTGAATTGTACTAGTTTTCCATGTGATTTTCTGAATTGTTTTTCTGGAAATGAATTGATTTAGTAACATTTTTCTGAAATTAGTACTAGTGTCAAGTAGTTTTCATTATTTTTATTTGAATAAATAAATTATATTTAATTGTTTAAATTTAAGAATTGATTATTTTTTTTCGTGGAATATGCAGGCGTTTTGAGGAAGAATGGTAGGAAGGAGAAGGGATTTGAAGATCAATAATAAAGAAATGCCCTTTTTGGAAAATTATTAAATGTCCATAATAATTATGGATTTTGTTGGGTGGGTGGGTCGGTGGGTGGGGGTTAAGTACAAATTACCAGGCTTGATTATAGGTTTATTTTAGACTCTAAATGAGATTTGGGGGTGCGGCTGTAAAGATTTTGGGTTTATCAAATACTATCTTTTTTTCTATTTTTGGATCTAGTTTTATACATTTGTTATTTATTTACGTCTCTTTTCAGTCGAAAAATAGTTTCTTCACTCTCTAAGAGTCTTTATTTTTACATTTAAGATATCATAGTATAACATACAAGAGCTTTTTACGCCATATCATAAAGAGTTTTAGTGCATCCTCGCATATTTTCTCCGGCATTGGAGATCGAAAAATAGAACACTTCATATACCTTATATAATGTATCGAGTTAACACTCAATTTTTAGTAAAAACAACGTTTACTGGCCATTTTTCGACATTGTATCCTAAACTGGAGTTTTTAAAGTTTCATAAGTAATATTTCAGGATGTCGACTATTTTTCAATTATAGAAACCGTAAATTGACTATTTGTGTATTTTTCACTTTTTTCATGGCCTGCAAATTTCATAGGATGCCTTTTCGTAACGTGCGTAAGATGGGCCCATGCAAAAAGGAGACGGGAGTACAACGGGCCCATGTGGAATTTGGAGTATGGCCCACATTTATGGATTTTCTGCTGGACTTATTATAAGTGGGCCCTTAAGGCTGGTCTAGCTGGAACCCAATTGTATGATTGAAAAGCCCATCATCACAAGAAAAAGGCAAATAACCTTTTAAGTAGAATTTAAAATTTAGTAAAAAATTTAATTGGAAACAACCAGAATATCAACATTGATTAGAAAAAAATAATGAAAGTTAGTGATTGGTACATAATTTTTTTAAAGAGAAAATGAATATACTTTTTGGTATAACTGAGGTTGATATAAAATGGATTTGGGGTCTACTTTAACCTAAAAATTAAATTAAGACATAGGAATTAATGCAAACATCAGCTAAAAATATAATTAGTTCCATCACCAACTAACATGGGATCGAACATTTGATTGAATAGGAATTGAGGTGCACCTAACTCAAATGTCATAAAAAGATAGGAATACATAGATTTAATTTAGTTTCAAAAACCAGTTAAAATAGTTCAAAAGTCACCGATGGGTGTAGGAGACTTAACATAAGTAGAAAGTAGGAGGACTTATAGACAATATGATAAGTTTTACTCGATTATAACAGTTAAACTTAATTTTACAAAAAATAAAAAAATTGAGGTATTCTATATGATCAATCTTTTGTCATGATTTTACTTTGTAGAACTTCCATTTTAATAGTCGTTTTGATTTAAGCAAAAGCTTTTACATGCTTTGACCAAAAATGGGTTAACTTTGTAGATTATTATTACCTTTCTAAAAATAATACTATAAACTTACGTTTATATTAAAGTGAAAATTATTGTCAAAGTTTAGAAAAATTGGCTGCAAATTAGGAGTTCAATTCTTTTTAAAAAATATATTCAGTCATATATACATATTTAAAGTTTAGCCTGGTCAAGCCCAAATATATCAAAGTTTGTTTTTGAACTTTAGACATGATTTTTATAATTTTGATCGCATATGATAGAAGTTTAGTTTCGATGTAGCTAGATTTGTAAGTTTTATATAAAGTTGCTACAACTTAAATGTTGGTTCTAGATGGGCACATGGTAAAGCCCGCTAGGCCCTTCATCATAATTTCAGGAAATTTAGAGGAGATAATTAGTCAAGATTCGCTTAATTAAACACAAAAATTAGCTTTTTAGGAATATACTAAATCATATCTAATTATACTTATAGCTCTCATAATCTTCTATTCGGTGAATCCAAATCACTTTTACGCTTCATAGTTTTTATTAAAATTAAGACGTCTGAAACTAAATGCATTAACGATTAAGATCTTGAATCTGAATACACCGTTTATTCCTAAACATCTGAATAATATGTAAGCACATAAATATTAAATGATCAACATTATCCTAAAAATAACTTGGTAACTAAGCAAGCAACACTTCATCGCCACGTGTCCCATCGTCAGAGTCCTTGTTTAGCCCAAAACTTATACGCAATCGATCTCTTCTCGTTGCTGAAGGGTTGCGTCATTCGTCGAATTCGAATAGACAATTACGAAAATTATGGGTGGCGGTGGAGCATTCAGAGCAGCGGCGAAGGTCGCCGGAGCAGCCGCTGCGAACAGCGGATTCCGCTCGGTGACGGCGGAGCATCCAGTCT